TAGCGTTTACAGCGTGCTTCTGTCTCCGTGCTGTTGTCGCCCTGTGATGACGTCAGCTACACGGTTTCGTCGAGCGCACTTTAGTCAAACGCGGTTTTGTGGTGGAACCATAAATTACAATGTTTTTTTTAAAGTTAGGAAATACTTATCAATAAAGTTGAACAATTCCTTTTTCCTAAGGTATTTCTTACCTGGGAAATAAAGAAAACTTAGTAGAACTTTCTGTAAATACTATTTTCAAGTTTTTGCAGAGGGGGCCATTTTTCACTTCTTAGATAGAAGACTTTGTGGAGGATGCATAATGTTTTCCAGAATGCCAGCACAATGTGGCCATCAGCAAAACAAAAATAGTCTATTAGAGCCCACTGGAGTGGAGGTCTACATTAAGTTTACTGGTGAAATTTCAAAAAAAAAACACACACAAAGAAAAAAGCAGGAAGAAAGGAATAACTGAGATCATCTGCAGTTCAGCCAAAATAAAAGCCCACATGAACATAAGAGTGATATTATGGGATAGTAGGTCCTGCAAGGCTGCTGCAAATTGCTTTCTTTCTTACCTTGGAAAAAAATATACCCAATGTTGCTATTGCTTCCTTTACATAGCATGTATACTTATTTCTGGATGTTCTTGGTAGCTCCCAGAACAGTATGTTGCATGGGCCTGCAGATCTCCAAATCTTCCTAATGCTATGTCTTGCCTTGCCTTGCTCCCCTCACTGTCATCACTAAAGAAATCCTTCAGCATTTAATTTTTCCTGCTCTTGTTCCCTAAAAAAACTTTTCTGCCTAGAACAATTGATGTGTTTCTGGACCAAAGCAGCCTTGTTGTTCACATGCGAACCAAACATGCTCATTTCTAATTGTGCATGAACCATCCAGAGCCAGCTGTTCTATGCAGAGAACAGATCACGTATGAATTAATTTGTACATCCCTACCTTCCCCTCCTTCGTCCCAGGTTAAAGGGGATTGTGGGGGGAATGCAAAAATGTATATATTTCCAGCTTTGCAAAAATGTTCAACAGGAAGATTTGAAGAGGAAACAAAAATAATCTACTGATATACAGAATCTGTAACCTGTAATAATAAAGGTACAAATGAGTTCTTGGATAAAAGACACAATTAGCAGAAACAATGAAAGGAAAATTGATTGCAGAATGTGCCATGTATTGATAAAATAAGCTAAACATTATCGCATCAGTGAAACAAAAAGATAGAAGTTAGTTCTTAGATTTCTTCTTTAAAGGAAGAAACACAATACCACTTCATGATGCTTTGGTAAGGCCACACTTGGAATACTGCATTCAGTTTTGGTCACCACNTTTTAATAAATGTAGCATCAGAATTCTCCTTATGTTTTCTTTTCAGGATCTTGATCTTCCAATGTAATCCTAACCAAATAGTTGCATCTCTTTGACCTACTTTGATCTAACTACTTTTTCCAATCACAGCTTGCCTGCAGCTTCCCTTTTTTGCAGATAGAATAATTATGAAATATGCGATCGATGCCGTGCTATCCTTCATTAAACATTTAGATGATTGACTTACCTGGGGTTTCCACTCTTCGATAATGGTAAGGATTAATGCAGACGTCTTTCTGCTTTGAGCCAAATGGGAATTCGCAGCATTCCAGAGGTTTTAACTCATGGTGAGACTGTAGATCAGGCCAGCGCCACACTCTGCAGTAAATGACATGCGGCAAACCTTTGCGATGAGATACTTGCAGCCTTCCATCCAAAGAGCGTGGGATTGTCACACACTTACTGGGCTGCCCAGGACAGCTAAGTGCCCTCTCCAGTTCCTCCATGGCCCCCTTTTTTTTCTTCAGCTTCTTTACCAAGGAGTCAACAGCTTTTTCTGCCCACTTTTCCTCTTCATCTCCTTGCTTCCAGCCCAATAGCCTCTTTACAGCTGGGCTGGTGAAGGAGAACAGAGAACTTATAGGGGTGCTGGAGTGCATAAGAATCCCAGAATACTGGTATAATTTCAATTATTCAACTTCTTTTTCTTTAATGAAGAATCTCACTACTTGAAGAGATACTCCTTCAAAATCAGCCTTTTCTCCACATACTCTGGGGTTTGCTGGATATATTTAATCCCAGGATCTTCAAATAGAAAACAATTCTACAACAGAAAGGAAATATTGTCATATTTCTGTTTGTCTTTTTTTTTTTTACAGTTTGTCACTTTAGTTTCTAAGCAATATCACAAACTGTTGAAAACCAAGAGTATTATCATAGTTGCTGTATAAGATTGCATATGTGTCCATTATATAAATTACCGTGGCCCGACAAAATAGCGCTTGACTAAGCGCGTTGCTGACGTCATCAACAGGGCGACAACAGTGAGCGCGGAGAAAGAAGGGCACTTTAAATAGCGCTTTGAAAGCAAG